AGCTAAGGGTCCTTGAGAAGAACCGCACTTGGGAGTTAGTAAAACTACCAAAAGGGAAGAGAGCAGTTGGATGCAAGTGGGTCTTCACTGTGAAGCAGAATCCAGATGGACAGGTTGAGCGCTACAAAGCTCGTCTGGTGGCAAAAGGATATAGTCAGACATATGGCATCGACTACGATGAGACTTTTCCACCGGTAGCAAAGATGAGCACTGTTCGGACCTTAATCTCTCTGACAGTAAATGGTGGATGGAAGCTACACCAACTAGATGTGAAAAACGCATTTCTTCATGGAGATCTAGTGGAGGAGGTATACATGGAGATACCACCAGGATTCGGTACAGATCAGACAGTGGGAAAGGTCTGCAGATTGAAGAAGTCTCTCTATAGGCTAAAGCAGTCTCCTCGTGCTTGGTTTGATAGATTCAGGAGGGCTATGATTGGTATGGGGTACCAGCAGATCAGCACCGACCATACCGTGTTCTTTCGAAGAAGTAGAGGTCACATCACCTTACTTGTAGTATATGTGGATGATATGATTATTACAGGGGATAATGAGAAGGAGATTACCCAACTCAAAGTGAGACTGGGTAAGGAATTCGAGGTGAAAGATCTTGGCTTGCTTTGATACTTTCTTGGAATAGAGATAGCTCGAGGAGCGGAGGGGATCGTCCTATCCCAGAGAAAGTATGTAGTGGATCTTCTCAAAGAAACAGGAATGTTAGGATACAAACCTGCAACTACACCGATCGACCAGAAGTTTAAGCTGAGTGTTAAAGCTGGAGAACCAGTTGATCGTGACAGATACCTAAAGCTGGTGGGCAGGTTGATCTATCTGTGTCACACACGTCTCGATATCTCTTTTGCAGTGAGCGTGGTGAGTCGCTACATGCATGATCCAAGAAAGGGTCATATGGACGCAGTGTACCAGATTCTATGGTATTTGAAGAATGCCCCCGGAAAAGGGCTAATCTTCAGGAAGAATGAACACATGAGCATTGAGGGCTATTGTGACTCTGATTGGGCTAGCTGTGCTGATGACAGGAGGTCCACCTCAGGATACTGCATCTTTATAGGAGGCAACTTAGTCTCGTGGAAGAGCAAGAAGTAGTCGGTGGTGGCGAGATCGACAGCTGAGGCAGAGTATAGAGCTATGGCCTTAGGAGTTGCTGAGTTGTTATGATTGAAGAGTATGCTGGTGGAGCTGAAGCTGGATCAAGGAGCTAAGATGAAGTTGTGTGTGACAACAAGTCAGCCATCTGTATCACCAATAATCCAGTGCAGCATGATAGTACCAAACACATCGAGATCGATAGGTTCTTCATGAAAGAGATGTTGGATAGTGGACTACTGGAGCTAAGTTATGTTTCGACTAAGGACCAGACAGCAGATTGTCTGACTAAAGGACTTAGCTCAGTAGATATGATTAGAGGATGTGACAAGATGGGCTTAGTAGATATCTTTCGCCCATCTTGAGGAGGAGTGTTGACATATTAGTATTAGTTAGGGACTTATTTGTAAGTTGTGTAGGGGCCTATATAAAGCCCAAGAGATCTCATAATAAATAAGGGTTTCAATTCAACTTTGTCCAATCATTAGCCTTGTACATCTTTGTACTCGAAGACTTATGCTCTAAATTGTTCAATACTGCTTAATATTTTTTAGTTGAATCCAGTTTCCATTTGTGAAAAGGGAGAAGGAGAAGATGATGATTAAAAGCTGAGCAAGGGGTTTAACAGATAAGAAACATGCTAGTATATACATTGTAGAATTATGTCAAAATGACTTCTAATTCAAACATATCTTCAGACTGATTAACCGCAATTTTTAGTGGATTATTCACTGGAGGGCACGTGAATCAATCTAAAATGTGAATGACATTAGGGACATGGTTTAATTTTGTCAATCAGCTTCATGAATAATGACATTTTATTTTTCGTTGTGAGGATTGTATATGTCCACAGACAAGAACTACACTGTCATTGGATGGGTAAGTAGCAAATAAATCCTGCTGCTTTTTAAGCATGGATACATAGACACACATCTCTCCATCTCTTTATATTTTCTAAACATAAACAAAGCAGAGAATCAGAAGTCTGACATATGCTTAATTGACAGCAGAGGGTCTTTCTTTCCTCTCATTGTTGATGTATTTTAGCTATAGGAGGATAGAACTGTAGTGTGTATGTGTTTCATGCCATCCTGTAAGCATAGTGAAGTAGGCTTCACTTCAAAAGTGTCGAAAGAAATGCAAGTCTGACAGGATTATACACTATACCATGGAACCTTTTGATGTGAAATAAAAGGTACCACTGAAAAAATATAACCGAAGAAAGGCTTGATTATCCAATTGATAAGGAGATGGTATGATTACTATTTTATCTGAACTTGCTTGGATGTATCGAACAACGGTCTTCTCAGAGTGTTCATTTCTCGTATGAACTTTAGCCAAGGTAAAAAGGATTCAAATCTGTCCATGCTTTGTATTTTGCAGTTGTAATGATTTATCATTACAGTAAGTTGCATGAATTATATTAATAATGAGGTAACATATATATAAGCATGTAAAGCAATATTCTGCCTACATTTGATTGAAATGCTTATAGACGTAAAGATTGAAAATTTGGAATGAAGTGTGCCCGTATCTTGACAATTTGTAGCCAGCAAACTTCATTGTATAACCTTCTGTTTGTAAACTGATCTTCTATTTACATAATATTGTTGAGAGGGTGATACTCGGTTCTTGGCCTGCACAAACACTGATTACTTTTGAACGTCTACGAGTTTGAATGCAAGACCAAACTTTATTTTAGAGAAATGATACACGTTGCAATCTATGCTGAATTTTACTGTAGCCAGGGAGTATATTTTCTGATGCGAAAAAATTCACAGAGATGGAGCTTTTGTTGTTGTTGTTGTTGTTGTGCGAGACTTTTTAAATATTCATTTTGTTTTGTGATGCCGGTTATTCTCAATGTAGTTTGTTGCATAGGTTGAAAATATTAAACCAACATATGACTTTAATCTGATTTTGTTTTGCTGAAATCATCTGTTTGCCCCTACATTGTTCTTTCCATATATAATTGTTTATTTTGTCCTCATCTCTGATGTATACATATGTACATAAGTGTATGCATATAAATGTGTTATAATAAGGCCTTTTCATATTTAAGGAGGGTACATATGGGATTTAGTTGACCTTATTTCATTTTAGAATGTTCTAGTATTTCTTAATACCTGCTAATTTTATTTATTTTATTTTTTGTCCTTTTATTTTAGTATGCTGATGGATGGTCCCCTTTTGTAGGATGGCGGAGACACATTCATCAACCAATTCCTCAGACACTCATTCTAGCTATACAACCTCAATAGACAACTCTTGGGAACCCAGCCAAAAAGATTGGGAGTACGATTCTGACGAGACTGACCCAGAGGAGATTTTGGCTGATCATGAGATGACAGTAAGATGATAGAACAGTTGAAAACTTTTTTACCTTCTTGCAGAACATTATATTATGATTTATTTTCATCATCGTTTGAAAATGCACTGGAATCATCTCCTAGTCTTCTTTCTGTTAAAATGATTTCCAGAATTATTCTTCAAGTGCTGATTTGTCTTCTGTGAATCTGTTGTGTTGATCAAACTTAATGGTTGTTGGTTTTATTATTATAGGCTTTGTGATCATTGATCTTCTCCTAAAAGTATTCTACATGCCTGCATTATTTTATTTGCATAAATTAAGGAAAATTGGTTGATGGTGACAAGTGGAAATAAGAAAGGGTCTTTAACATTCCCTAGCTCCATTTTCTTCACTACTTTGGAAGATTTCTTGCTCTTTGCTGAAAATACAGAGGAAAAAAATTTACTGTGTTGTGAAACATTTATCTTTGAATGAAGTTTTCTGTACTTGGCATTATTTCTCTTTTCTTTTTACTGTACGGAGATGGTAGGATTTGTTTACTGTTTGAAACTTTCTATTCCTGTGTATTATTATGACGCGTTTGACAATGTAGTGCCAATGAATGTTTTTCTTGTCAATAGTAAGCAAAACATATATAAGGGGAACATACAAAAGGTGAAACCATAACCATATACATAGAGTACTTTCGTGAATGTGATGAATGATTGACGGGAGCATGTGGTAAGATTTTTGTTTCATCGATTAGGTTTTTGGTGGATTGTTGATTGATTTGTTTGTCTTTTTTGTTTGGAAAAAGGTTGTTTTTCGATAGCTTTCATTGGTAGTTGTAGTTACTGTTGGATGAATGCTTCAATTTAGCCTGAATAAACAAAAGAAGGAAGAAATTTGCATAAATGATCAAAGCTATAATTCATGGTTCGTTCTATGAGCTTGTGGTGAAGTCATTTACAGAGGAGTAGAACAATGTCTTTTAAGGGTAAGTTACAATTTTGGAAAGAGTTTGTCTACACTCTACAGAAATATCAGAGCTTTACAGAATTTATCGTGACAGGTATGCAGTATACATTGATTACCCATATCCCTGCCTTGTTGACTATGGTTTTTCGGCCTTGTATTTTCTCCACAATTGTGAAATTGCTGAATAATATTTTATCTGTAGAATCAAGGTAAGGCTTTTCTGGGATTCAAGGAGTCAAATACAGATGCAGTAAAAATTTCACTCAAGGATTGCTTGGCCTGCAGGTAAACCTGTAATTGCAAGTTGTATGATGTTCATATTGTAAATTTGTACTGTAATCTGGCCCATTTTCCTTTGCAGTATTCAAAGAAATCAAGTTACTGGTTATAGTAGTTAGGGTACCTTGTATGTGCAGGTATTTAAAACCGTGATTTATCAAAAACCACTTCCAATCAGACAAAAGAACCAAAAAAATGGTGATAAAAACATAGCATGTTTTGTGTTTCTTTCCACTTTGTCACCTTATCAATGTCATCTTTCACCTCAGCTAACACTCTTATCTACCGATAACAACTATATATCAAGCAAGGAATCGTAAGACCTTGGGTATGGAGAACAAGAATACAAGAAGAGAGCGTTAATGATATTCTTATCATCAGGGAATACAAATTCTAAACCTCTCACTTAAAACTCCATGAATTCAAGATGGTAAACTTTTTGTGCCTACAGAGACCAGCGTCAAATAGAAGCAGAAACAGGCACAGAAGCAGAAACAGGCATAGAATCGATGATGAAGTACATGGAGAACTAAGCTCCGTATCAGAAGTACACAACAAGAGTTCAGTAGTGAGGATCGTTCTCGCCAGTGGATTGGTTGAAGTCTATGACACTGCGGTCACAGCTCGACATGTCATCAAGAAGTATCCAGGTTTGTGTCTCGCTCGTCCAGAGGTGTTCAAGATGCCGCACAAATCGCTCGTTGGTCCAAAAGAGATACTGTCTCCGGGACAGAAGTTTTACTTAGTGCCTGCGACGACTATGGAGAAGTTAAAGAGGAAATGCCTGGTAATGACTAGTGAAATATCGGAAGGAGTTGATGTAGGGGTGAAGGATAAGAGAGAAGGTGAGGAGACTGTGTGCTCAGCGAAAGATGTTTATGCGTTAAGAGATGAATGGAGTGAGTGTTCCCTGCAGAGGTTAGAGAAGCAAGATGAGAAGAAGTGCTTTGATCCGCCAATAAAAAAGGCCACCAGGATGAGGAAGGGTGTGCTCGATGGATGGAAGCCTACACTGCCGTCTGTAGAGGAGATATCTCCTTAGAGTTGAATCTATGGGAGCCTACACTGCCATCTGTAGAGGAGATATCCCCTTTGAGTTGTATCTAATGTTTTCGCTTCATTGCATTAATGATGCATAAAAAAAATGTCCATTTTCTAATTATTGTACTTGGACATTTGTGGTTTCGTGTACTGTTAATGTAATGAAGTCGGACAATTAGAAGCTTTCTCATCTTCTCTTAATGGTAATAATAGCAATATGCGGGAATTTATATATGAGTCCATTCTGATATTTCTTCCTCTTCAAGTTCTATTGTATATGTATTGTTATTGTTTTTTGTGCTTGCATAGGTATTATTTGACCCAGGCTCTTAGTTACGTGATGCAGTTGTGCACAACCCTGTTTGATTGGTGTAAATATGAAACTAAAGGGTTGTTTAGTTTGCTGCAAATATGAGTTATATAGGCAACAAATATTGCATGCATCATTTTTTATAAAAAAAAATTAACTTCAAATTCATTGTTTAGAAATCTAAATTTTATTGGAAGAAATTACATATTGAATTGTGCAAACTCTATGTGATGTTATCATATAGGGAAATACAAGAGTGAATTATTTTCTTATTTGGATTTACAAAGATTTTAATGAGGTTGAATTATTTTTGTTGGGTGTCAATTCAAACTCTAAATTGGATCTAGATTTGAAGACTAGGCTCAATGATAGTAGTTTTCTTGGGCTTCAAATTGATTTGAATCATATTCTAGTGTATTTCAGTAAAGAAGGAGAGAGGTATAATATTCTTGTAATCAGGGTTTAACAGAGGTTGTAACCAGATTTAAGGGTATTGTGAGAGAGAGTGTTTCATAGTCTTTATCCGTATAAAAGAAGGTAATTTGATGATGATAGTGGATTGTTTTTGACCTCGTGGATTTCCCTGTTGAGGTTTTTCCATGTTAAATATTGTGTGATTCTATTTGCTATATTTGGTGGTTTTTGATTTTTTTTGCAAGATCTAAAAAACCCAACAAGTAGTACCTGAGTGAGGTCCGACGTTTCACAGAGGTTCGAGCAGTACAATCAATAGGCGTTGGCGATCGATAACGTGGATCAGCATCGACGCGTGAGAGAACTTCAAGGAGGCCATTGGAGACTTATCGGAGGTGCAAGCTCTGTGATCGCGAGGAGTTGTGGGTTCTAATCGTGAGAAAGAAGAGAGGAGGAAAGTGACCAAAACTCACATGAGAGAAGGTGTGGATCTGAAAAAAAATCAAAAAAAAAAACAAAAAAAAAGAGAGAGAGAGCAAATACTATATATTCACGTGGGAAGGGATCAAGCGGTGGGTAATCTGGTCCGATGTTTACTTTTTTTGATGTTTGGTGTTCTGTCAATCTAACCGAGGAAATTGATTCGCTAGCTGGTCAGGAAATCATAAACGGAATTGACGATCCAAGAGTTGTTCCTAGGGTTTTTTTATGTGCCGAGTTTATTTTCAACGTACGTTCTGCAAATTTAACTTCTACAGTGACTGATTTGAATTTGATTATGGTTAGAGGATGATGATATCTTCAGGTCCGAAGTTCGATATTCCTCTATTAAATAACAAGATAAATATTACAGTATGGTAGTGTATGGTTCAAGATCTTTTGGTGCAACATGGTATTGGCCAAGCTTTGGATGAGAAAATGCCTGAAGAGATGAAGGATGATGAATGGAGTTCCATGTAAAAGAAGGCGGTCAACAATTTTTTTGGCACTCGCCCCTGAGGTCAAGTATAATGTTATGCAAGAAACCGCGTCAAGGGGGTTGTGGGACAATCTTGAGGGGATTTATGCATCAAAGCCAATGGCTAATTGATTGTGTTTGAGGATGGAACTTTATTAATTGAAGATGGAAGAAGGCACTACAATGAAAAGTACATCAATACTTGTAATCAGCTAGTGTTTGCTAACTTATGAAAATTGATAAGGATATTAAACAAGAAGAGCAGACGCTACTCCTTCTGCTTTTCCTACCAAAGGCATGTAAGCCATTGGTTTAGAAGATAATTGCGGGGAATCAGACTTTAAAATTTGATGATGTGATAACGCTCCTATGAGAGAATGAGAGAATAATGGGAAATGAGAGCGCATCTATTGGTGGTGAGAGTGCATTGGATTTTGAAGGTTCTAATTGAGGAATGAGTAAAGGGAGATGTGATAGTTATCGAGGAAGATCAAAATCTCGGGTCCAAGATGACAGTGAAAGGGAGTGATACTATTGTGGAGAGAATGGTCACATTTAGGTCAGATGTTCCTAGATGTGAGATGATTTGAAGATCATTAGATATATAAAGCTTTAAGAAATTGGGAAGAAGGAGGACTCCTTGGCAGTTATGTATGATGAAGATGTAATGTTCATGACTGAGAGTACATATATTGATGCGAATAATACTTGGATGCAGGATTCTACAGCCTCTATGCATCGTTTACAACAACAAAGAGTATTTTGACACAATAAAGATAGATGAAGAATTTTGTAATGTGATTATTAGAAACAACGAGAAGATGAAGGCTGAAGGTGTTGGGACTATTCACCTCAAGCTTTACATTGAGAAGGTTAGAACTCTTCATCATATGAGATATGTGTTGTTATGTGGTGCTAATTTAATTTTATTGGATATTGGATGAGATGGCATCACGTGGGTACAAGTATGTTGGTGAAGGAGAGTAATGTAAAGTGTATAGACTTGGTGATTTGCTTTTGCGAGGGAGGAAGAATAGCAACCATATTTGCTATTTAGATGGGCATCTGTTAATGGTATAAAAGGATCTATTTATGGTGTAGGTGACTCTTCTTAGACTCTTTTCCATAAGGAAGAGATGAAGAACAAGAAGAAGATAGTGAGTTTTTCTGAATTGGTTGAGATATTTAGAGATTTTTCGTCATGGAAGGATGTGTTGGGACCGACTCAAACTCCAACTTGGATCCAGATTTGAATACTAGGCCCCGTCCTTATAGTTTTCTTGGAAGTCAAGTTGAATTACTGGGCAAGTTAGGAGAGACTTTAAATAAGGCATCGTATTCTAGTATTTTATTAGTAGAGAGAAGTACAATATTCTTACAATTAAGATTTTACAGAGGGTACATGTTGTTGGGAAATTAACAGAACAACAAGACAAGAAGATCTTTCCCGCCTTTGTGATGAGATAAGAATAAAAAATAGAATAGAAGAGAGAAAAAAACACAAAGAGATTGCACACACAAGATTTATCGAGGTTCATCTCAATTTGAGCCTACATCCTCACCCGCTCCTTCTTCACTGTTTCCATTAATAATCAAATAAAATCTTACAAAGGGTCTTCTCTCAAATTAGTATAACTTAACTTGAGGATCACTTTTTCTCAAACTCACTTGAGGATTACAAGTTGTATGTGGTTCTTATTCTTGCTTCTTGTTTTTTAACCTTCACCATCTCCCCTCTATTTATAGGGATGATATGCCTCTTGGGTACACCATATTCATTGCATAGGAAAGTCCAAAGACCAGCTCTTCCTTCTCCCAATGCATGGAGAAAGATAACCTATTAATGTTGCATGCAGCTCATTTATTATGGGGATGGACCCCGTTCCCATCAATCTCTCCCTCCATCCTCATGAGGAGAAAGTTTTTAAACAGTAGTTATACATGCCTTTCTTCTGCAGAAGTCATGTTTCTCTTTTGGTAGAGGGTTCGTCATTATGTCAGACAGATTTTGGCTTGTATCAATCTTCTTAATATGCATAAGACGATTCTCCAAAGCATCACAGATCCAATGAAGGCGTACGTCGATATGTTTTGTCCTTGAGTGATAGGTAGCATTTTTAGTCAAGTCGATGACGCTCTGACTGTCACAATATAGAGTGTACTTCCCTTGCTTGAGAGATAGCTCCTTTAGAAAATTCTTCATCCACAAGAGCTCCTTGCTGGATTACATAGTAACGATATACTCAGTTTCTAAGGTAGATAGAGCAATATACTTTTGCAGCTTTGACTACCATGATACGACTCCCCTTGCAAGGGTAAATAAGTATCCTGATATGGATCTTCTTTTGTCCAAGTCACCTGTCATATCAGAATCAGTGTAGCCTTCTAAGATAGGTTTTCCATCTTCAAAACATAAAGAATATTTGGAGGTTCCTCTAAAATATCTTAGTATCCATTTTACTAATTCCCAATGTTCTTTACCAGGATTGGCAAGATAACGACTTACCACTCAAACTGCATGTGCTATGTCAGGTCTTGTACAAACCATGGAGTACATCAAACTTCTGACGGCCAAGGCAAATGAATGCTCTTCATCTCCCCCTTCTCCTTCTCACTTGAAGAGCTTTGTTGTGTACTTAGCTTAAAATGAACTGCTAGTGGTGTGCTGACTGGCTTAGAGTTCAACATATTAAACCTCTCCAGAACACGTTCAATGTATCTTTCTTGTGATAGCCATAACTTTCTCGCACTTCTGTCTCAAGAAATCTTCATTCCCAATATATGTTGTGTTGCTCCTAAATCCTTCATATCAAATGACTTGCTCAGCTCTTTCTTCTACCTATCAATTTTAGACCTATCTTTTTCAACAACAAGCATATCATCAACATATAGATAGAGAATAATGAAATCATCATCCGAGAACTTTTTGACATAAACACAATGATCTGTAAATGTTTTTTTGTACCCATGGTCAAGAATAAAAGAATCAAACCTTTTAGACCACTGTCAAGGTGCATTCTTGAGTCCGTACAAGCTCTTCATCAATTTGCAAACCAAGTATTCTTTGCCTTTTACCTTGAAACCCTCTGGCTGCTCCATATAGATTTCTTCTATCAAATCACCATGGAAGAATGTTGTCTTCACATCTAATTGATCAACTTTAAGGTATTGAGAAGCAATAAGACCAAGAATGACCCGAATAGAAGACATCTTTACAATAAGAGAAAATATTTCTTCATAGTCAATACCTTACTTCTGACTGAAACCATTCACCACGAGGTGAGCTTTGTACTTGACTTGGCCATTTTCTTCATTCTTGATTTTGAATACCCATTTGTTTTTCAAGGCTTTTCTGTTCTTAGGTAGCTCTACCAAGTCATAAGTGTGTTCTTATGCAAAGAATCCATCTCCTCTTGCATAGCTTTCTTCTACTTTGCACGATCATCATGAACTTGTGCTT